TACATTTCACTGTGTGTTATACTTGTATAACTATGCATGTGACAAATAAAGAACCTTGAACCTTGAAACAATGAAGTGAATAAAATTTCATCTTATGATTGAAAATGGTCCATTAAAAAAGTGCCTATGCTTTACCAGTTACATCAGACTGACCTATAGGTAACTGTGAACTGAAACAGTTACAGCACTAATAAAACTACAACTCAAAATCAAATTAAAGTTCCTGAAAGTGTGGACTGCAGCTCATAAGGGTTCCCCAAAATAATTATCTGCATTAAAAATCGGATTTGCAAAAAATCAGATTTGATTCAAGTCAGTTAATAATACTGTTTTTTGTTTTTGTTTTTTTTGGTTTTTACAATTTAATAGACTATTTATATATTTTGCTATTGCATCTGTTAAATATCTATTATGCTATCTAGTATATTTATTTTAAGCTTCAGTTTGCCATTGCAAATAAAAGTCACTAGGGGGCAGCAGCGGTACGTCACACAAACACACCACCGAGGAAGAGCAGAAAACAGGAAGCAAAGAAGGAGGCTGTTGATGGTGACATATCTTAGGTAATGTTAAACGAAGTAAACATAAGGGCTTAGCTTCGTTTCTTTGAAATAAGCACTGTTAAAGGATGGAGATGTTTGCGTACTAACGGGATATTTGGAATTTAATATCTATTTGGGTTTTTTCACTGTGGTTTTCGGGTGAATATTAGCGAAGCTATTTATCGTCCGCGAATTAGTCCTGATAAGAAACACTATACGTGTGTGTATGTTGTATGTCGTGTAGAGATGCGATGGATAACTTCCTTAATATTAGAGGCATGAGTCGGCATGTACACAGTGTAAGAAAGTTAAACTAAATCTGTCCCATTTCTTCCTACATTACAGCCTCACGGGGGAAAATCGCAGTACTTCTAATAAACAGTTGGTTTAATTATAAAAGCCTTTATGCCTTTTTATGCCGAAGGTTTCCAGAAGGTTTTATTTATCATAAACAAGCATAGATTGATTAATTGGATGCATCGTTCGGACGATTAGTTTTGCGAATATAAAATTGTAAAGATTTTGAATGAAGTTTGGTGGAAAAAGTCTTAATGACCAGCTTAAACTTTAACGCCTATATATACTATTTTTTTCCCCCGGAAATAGAATAATAACTTTATCTTGCCACTTTTATCCGAGTTAGATCTGAAGCCTTATTTATATTTCACCTGAACTTTGGATTCTATGTTTTGTTGTTGTTGTTGTTGTTTTCTTTAATAGAAAACACTGGTTTTGAGAACAGATGACGTTGACAAACAGAAATGCACTGCGGTGTTTGTATGAGGACCATACGTTTGTATATTTGGTGTGTTATTTATTCTCTGTCTTTGCATTTGCAGCAGGTTCTATGCTCAAGCTAAGGACCGCTGAAGAAGAGAAAAGGAGTTGTGAAATTTCCCAGCTGAGGCAGGCTGTGTTACAAAACAATGACAGACTCCTTGATGAGATGCTCTGCCAAGAAATCTACAAGAAAGTCATCAACTGCAGAGGTGGCTGGGGCATTGCAGGCACACCCCTGCATGCTGCAGTGTCTAAAGGCCACCTCAGCTGTCTGCAGGTCCTTCTAGCTCACGGTGCCATCATAGACTGCGTGGACGTCAAGGCCCAGACGCCTCTGTTTGCAGCCGTTCGAGGGAAATACCTTGACTGTGTCTTAACTCTCCTCAAAGCTGGCGCCAACCCCAACGGAAGTTCGTCCAACAACTGCTCGCCGGTCCTCACTGCTGCAAGGGAAGGCGACGCAGAGATTCTAAAGCAGCTACTAAAACACGGCGCTGAGGTGAACTCCCGCGCCAAAGTCTTACTGTGGACCTCGAGTGCCAGAGTCTCCAGTGGGCCGCTTTATTTGGCTGCTGTTTATGGACACATGGAGTGCTTCAAACTGCTGCTCCTCTACGGGGCAGACCCAGACTACAACTGCACTGATGCCAAGCTGCTGAGCTCTGACAAGCAGCCCAAAACTGTGCTGGAGATGTGCCTTAGGCACGGCTGCGGCGTGGAATACATCCAGCTTCTGATCGACTTCGGTGCAAACGTCTACCTCCCCACGCTGATCATCGAGAAGTCGACGAAGCAGAACGAGGCTGTGGAGCTGCTGCTGCGAGAAAGAGGTGTCGGACAGATTCTTCAACGCTTTTTCTCTTCAGATCTTTAACACTACTGATGACGATGTAACTTAAGGAGTGCTAAAGTTTTATCTATGAAATAAATACATTTATAATATGACTTCTAACATTTATCCTCCAGGCATCTCTCCTCACTATTGCTTTACATACTATATGTTTGACTAGCATTTGTATTTAACATTAACACAGTTTGTAGGTGTGATTTTTTTTTTTCCCATAGTAAAAGCTAAAATTCTTAAATAATGTACTTACAATATGTATACAGCAGCAGTTATATGTTCCACTCAGTTTTATTAATATAGTGTCAAATCACAACAGCAGTCACCTCAATATGTTTTACATTGTAAGTTAGAGACGCTACAGTCAAACAACCACCGTTGAGTAAGCACTTGGTGACAGTGGGAAGGGAAACTCCCATTTAACAGCAAGAGTCTTCTGCCAGACCCAGGCTCAGGGAGTGGCAGCCATCTGCCACGACCAGTTGGGAGATTGTTAAATATATGTTGGATGTCTTGTTTAGTAATAATAATTACTGTAAACTTCATTAAATATAAATAATATTATTATCATTCATGATATATTGTGGGTATAACTTTGTTCTGTTTTGTCTCCAGGAAATCCAAAAGCTTTGACCTCACAGTGCCGACTTGCTGTGCGGAGACACCTCAGAAAGATCAACAAGATCAACTGCATCGACCAGCTGGAAATGCCCACAAGTCTCATCAACTTCTTGCAACACAAAGCAGCACCAGTCACTGTTCTGTAGATAGTGAAGGTTAAGTTATTTTATGACCCGTGTTTTGTTTTTTATTTTAGCTTAAGCTTTTATTTGCAGGATTTGAGCCCCTTCGTCCTCTTTTTAAAATGGCTTCTGTGTGAGTATGCATTGTTCTTGCTCTTAAGACTGATTCTTCAGCTAAAAGAATAAAGGTGGATTATTGTTGTGGAATTGTAGTTCTTACACTTTACCTGTCCAAGGTGTGCCCAATCTCAACTGTTACAAAGGTTGTTTGCACTGGAGTTCCCAGTGCAGTCATGTTCTTCTCCTTAATGATTATAGTCAGAACAATATTTTCTAATTCACACGCAAATTTTACTTTACACTCGATTCGTCAGTTATGGAGTGTCGAGACCTGATGGAGGATCTGTTATCTACCTCAGGATCGTGCAGTCTCACCTCTGAGATCCATCACACAGAGGCTGATGTTGGTAAATGTGTACAAGCCCAGTTCCAAAGAAAAAGTTGTTATGCTTCGTGACACTCAAAGTTGGGATTAGGCTGTAAAAGTAAGTGGTACTAAAAGAAACGCCTCGTTTGTGCCTCTGTCCCACTGAGCTGTCAACAAAGACTTTGATCCTCAAATATTTCCAAAAGAACAGTGACCTTAGACAGGCAAAGTCCTGTTGCTTTTCACATTATCACAATTCTTTGTGATGATATTATATAAATAACTGCCAAAAACCAGGACAAAAAAATTTAAGGGAGTCAGACTACTCCATTCATCTGGTCTGAAAACAAATACTACATGAGAGGGGAGGAACTGACATATGAATAAAAATGGACACAAGAAGAAAAATTATATGAAGTTGGCTAAAATGAGAGACATTAATCTCCAAAATTAAACAAACTAATTATTATCTTACAAATATAGATCAAAAGAAAGGCAAGAAAGTTGGATTTCTAACATTTTCTTGTGACAACACCATGCAACAATATTATTTTGTCAGTGGTTATTTCGTCCTGTCTCTCATCTATTCAGTATGTTGACATAGGTCTTCATTGGTGCTTTGTGACCTTTTACCTTTTCCGTTCAACCATTTAAACATGAACCTCAAAAATTGAAGGAAATAACCTCCAACACTGCTGCTGCTGCTAACTTCTAATCTTTAGGTGAGTTGATACCTAACAGCTTCAGTTTGTAATCCTGTTGCTTCTTAGCCTGGGACATTCTGCAAAAATATCTTCTAAGAGCACCACCCATCCAAAAAAACAAGAATATTTATATCTGATATATTTTTAGGAAGGGTGCAAGAAGGATGTGATTTGTACTTACTGTGTCCCAAAGAGCAGATCACTAGCAAAAAATCTTTAAGCACTTTTATTTAGGCTTTTGCATGAGCTGTTTCTCAAAATCAGAAAGAGTCAAAGAGACAGCCAAAGAATTCCCCAAAATGTTCAGATGATGACATTTTTTGTAGAATATGTTAAAAGATTTTATACTTGTGGAAATTGCTTCTCAAAAAATACACAATCATAATCAGCACAAGGAAATTCAGATTAGGTGATATTCAATGGAGCCTGACTAAAGTCAGATGAGCACTGAAGTTAGGATTTATCTTCTGTGTAAATCAATATGTGAAAAAGATGTGGCCACAACCATCTAGAGATATATATATGTAGATGTGGGAAAAGTGAAAGGATTCGTGTTCAGTCTCTGGCACGATGAGTCAGTGCTAAACCTGCAGGTTGCTGTGCCAAAAGAAAGAAAAACAGAAATCTTCTTGTTAAACCATTGAAAAAACAAGGGGGAAAGTCCATTTAAATAAGTTTAAAAAACATGTTTATAATTTCAAAAATTGTTAAAGATTCTGTCTCAGATAATGTAAAAAACAATTAAAGCTTTTTTTCTTTGTTACTCTCATGACAGCAACTAAACAGGAAATGGGTCAAACACTATCTCCAGAGCAGGAGGAGATGGCCTTTGAAGGTATTGCTGATATGCTTAGCAATGTTTTACAGCTGGATGAACTTAAAATTGACAGGTAAGCAATTCCACAACCAAAAGACAACGAGTGTCCTTTAGCGTTCCATTCGACATGATTACGTTCCAGTTTTAATGATGACATTCTGTTCAGCAAGATGAAGTTCCATCAACAGGATAACACTCCATTCAAGACGGTATTCCATTCTTAAATAGGACATTCCGTTCTACATGATGACATCCCATTCTTCATTCAGTTTTAAATAATGACATGATGACGTTCCATTCTAAACTGACATTTCATGCTAACGATGACATTCCCATCTGCATTATGACATCCTATTAGACACAATGACATCCCATCCTACCTGACATGCTACGTTGTGCCATTCCATACTAGTTTATGAGGTTACATTCTAGACGATAAAGTTCCATTATATATGATGACGTTCCATGCTACATGATGATATATCTATAAGATCTCTACATCAAACAAAATACAAAGCAGAGACATACATGATTTCAATGTAAATTCACTCATTTTGTTAATCAGTTGAGTTTTCATGTAGAGCATTCTTTTAACACTCTTTTGGTTTTAATACCAAGAGCTTTGTGTTTAGCATTAAACATTTGCAAAGTTAGTGATCATAGGAGCAAACTGAACCTTTCAAAAACTGAAATAAAATGGGCAGTAAAAGTTAATCAATAGTTAATTAAAATATAATAACAGCATGAGCTAAGTTCCTTGTAGGGTGCTAAACTAATGGGAAACAAATGTCCTCTCAGTTCCCTGCAGAGATTCTCTGGGCTCAACTCAGCTGAAGAGCTGAACAATTACAGAGACCACGTCTTGTACAGTGGAGAACTCAATCAGGTCGCATCTATTGTGAGAGAGGTGGGGAATGTTCTAGGTGGGCTCAGCAAGGTGCCTCATGCTGTCGGACTGGGAGCTCTCATCATTTCCTTGGCCTTAGACGTGGTCGCCAAAAGCCTAAATAAAGAAACCATGGGCACAGCTGAAATGTTAGAGAGGGTGTTCGCACAGGAGAAGGCCAAGGAGGTAAGAACTTAAGAAGTTAGCACTTAAAAGTGGTGTTCATTTGGATGCGTAATGTAGCTTACTAATTCACTTTTTTCCTTGTAAAAAAAAAAGTCCTGCTGATCAACATACAAAATTTGCCTTAACATTCCTCTCTTTAACTGTGCAGGTGCGAGATCTGATGCACGAGTATTTGAAGCGTATGCAGATCAACCTGAGAGACCCACAACTTCAACTCTCTGACACCCGTCTAATTGAGATTGCTCTTAGTGCCCAGCTCACACGGCTAAAGGTACAAAGCTGCCAGCTTTCATATATAACGAATCATCCCTGAATAGGGGATTTTACAGAAGTATTCATGTATAGAAATGTTCGTAATTAACCCTATGATGCCGTGTACTCCAATTTCTATTCTAAGAACTCCATGCTGATAGATGAACATATGGACACTCAGTTTCTGAAGCAGTGGGTGAATGGAGCTGCCTTCCACACACAGATGCTGATCCATCAGGCTCGTCTAGAAAGTGCAGGAGAACCTGATGGATCCAGAGCCGTGCGTGCGGCAGGGATTTATCAGCAGGACATGAACCGTCTGATGGAGAAAATCAAGACCTTGATGAGAAATCGTGATGATTCTCAAAATGCCAATAAGATAATAGAGATTCTGTTTTCTAAACCTCAGATTACCTGGACGAGGGATTATTTTTCAAAACTGCAAGCAAATATTCCAGCTCTTGTGAGGCAAAATGCTGACTTTGTTATCAAAACCTGATTTTGATCGTCAAGCATCGAGCCACAAGTAAAAAACTAAAATATTTGAAACAAGTAATTTTTTTGTGGCCAGTACAGTTATGTAAGGGTCCAGTCTGATCTACTGGCCTGGGAATCCAGTGGAGGAAAATATATTTTTATCTTGGCCAGTGAAACCAATCCGACCAAGAAAATCAGTCGCCAGTCAGTTGGTCTTCCCAATTCTTATGTCCTAAATCTCTTTCATTTTTACTGCAATATACTGCTCTCTGATGGCTTTGTGTGTTTGGTTTAGTGTTTTTTTTTGTTTGTTTTTTTTTAGTTGCTCATGTGAAGCACTTTGTAATTTGGATTTTGTTTAAAGTAAATGGATAAGCCATATACAATTGGAAGGAATATGGGTAGAGTTTGGTTTTAAACCTTTGTGCCATCGCACCTATATTTGTTACTTTCTCAGGACTTGAATAACATGTTTACTATCTTGTAAATTGGTTTTATTCAAAAGCCCATCTATATTTGTAAAAATCATGATTTAAGCTCTGCATGGAAGGGAAACGTGTCTATAATTACAATCCTTGGCTTTCCTTAGATGAATTCCTGAAATTAAAAAGTGACCCACAGACCTATTTCAGAAAGTATAACAACCCCATTTATGATCTACATTTTTTACACTTGCATTGATGCTACATTAGAGTCATAAAACAGAGTTAATGACCATAATTATTAGAGAGTGGATGCTAAATTTGATGCTTTTAGAACCACCAAAATGTAAACTTGAAAGATAGATTTTAAAAGTACTGTAGTTTATGTGTGGTTTATGGCTGCTTTTCCTAGTGTGTGAATGACTCTGCAACAACAAAATCATACATTGTTTCTCTTCATCATCATGTTACTTCCTTAAATGGGTCCGCAAAAGGAGCATGCTGCCGGCTAAATAAGCTAGACTGAGTTACAGCACAATGGTGGTTCCTCATCAGTGTTAATATCATTCACTAAAAAATTTATTCATGATTTTGCTGATGAAAAAAAAAACAATAATAATTTTAAAAAAAAACTATAATGAAATGTCTCGGCACTTTCTTTGACAAATAAAAAAGAGATAAAAACAGAGAGATGAGCTCCAACCAGAACTAATGAATTTACGTAGAGAGGGGGGACAAGTTCTCCCCGTCCAGTAATGTTTGACGCACACAATTTGATCTGCACACAACAAACGGGTTGGAAGGAAGAGACACTTCCTGTTGCAAAATGTCAATGGTTAGGAGGAAGACGAGAGCAGACAGATGGACACATTTCACATTTTATGTGAAGGAAAATAAGACACTTTGTAAACCGCATGAAGCAACTTTCACCGGTAAAAACACGACAGACTTTTACACTTTGTATTTTAGTCAAATCAACTTAAGATTTAGTCATCAATCTAGTCAGCAACACCCATCTGCTCTTCAAACTTTCTGTCTGTAAGACCCAGCCAATATTTTCACATTAAAATTACAACAAAATTCTTTAATTAAAAAAAACCAAAACGTGTCAATGTCAATAAAAGTTTTAGTTTCTAACCATCTAGCCTGCTTCTACCCATCACCACAGCAACAGAGCAACCGAATAAAAAACACTCCCAGTAAGAGCTGTCTGTACACAGAAGAACTGCTTGTTTAGGTCAATCTTTAAATTTGAAAGACTGCTTAAGTTTGCTGCAGGCTGACAGCACCTGTTCTGTCTCTCGGTAGCATGAAGGGACAGTATAAAGTAGAGCACAGCACCACATTTATTTTGAAGATTATTTCATTGTTCTTTGCTTGAAATAGATTTACAGAGACGCTTTTAATACATATAGATCAGACTCAAAATTAAATTGAAAAACTAACATAAGTTTAAACCTATGGGCCGTCTTTAACAGATGGATGAAAATCTTTTGTAGTCAATGACTGTCACTATATGTTTCTTATGATGTCACTTGTTTGTGGGTCTCTCTGACCAACCCTGGTTTGAAATGCTGTTTCCAGAGAGACACATGTCCAAAATGTGCTCATACTGTCTTGTTTTTTTCAGATTACGAGTAACAAAATGTGCTTGCATTATTAGTAGATTAGGGGAAGAACTTTATCACGTTTGAGTGTTGGGGTTTTGTGAATTTTTAAAACCTCTACATCATCAGAGTGATATCCCCCCCGTCCCCAAAAATCCCAAATACAGTGGCTTGCAAAAGTATTCGGCCCCCTT